GTTCTGTGCTGTGGCCACCATGTCCCTGTTTCCTTGTGAAGTAGTATAGTGGAGGTCTCTTGTTGTGGTGCTAGATGTATGTTTAGAACCAAACCAGCGCCCCCTCCACCATGCCACCCCCTCTGACCCTGGCCTAGGACTCATGGGGGACCTGTGCCCTCTGCAGACTCTGAGCTGAAGCCACTTCTACCTGGGTCCTGCTGAGAAGAAACAGGATCTCCCCTTGCCCCTCTGGACCCATCCAGGCTCCTCCCCTTTTCTCCTCCCTGCCTTCAGATCCCCTGCGTGCTTCTCTTGCCCAGGGTTTCTCCTAACTGAGTGGCTTTCCTTTGTCCCCCATAAGGCTGAGTGTCCTAGTTGTATCTACTCTGAGACTGAGGCCAGATTTCCAATGCAATCTGATTCCAAGCTCCAGGAAGCCGGCAGGGGGCTGAGCCTCAGCCCTGATGTGGGGGCCTCTCAGCTGGACATGCAGAGCCCCTGGAGGTACCTGGAAATGAAATGCAGGCCAGATCTCCTTGGCGCTCAGAGACAGGCTCATCCTTTCCCTTCTCTGCCTCCAGCTCCCTTGAGACCCCTGCCGCGCACGCACACACACACACACACCTTCCTGGCCTTCTCTGAGGAGCCAAGTCTCGCTGTGAAAGTGTCACCTGTACCTTGAAGCTGGAGCAGAGGCTGTAAATAATCATGGGTCCATGGAAAAGGCCTGGACAGCCCTAGCTCACAGGGCTTCTGGAATCTCTGCATGACCACTGGGTGTCTGGAAGCATAGCTGTTCTAGGTTGGCAGGAGGGAGGGGAGCTCAGAGGATAGGGAGTCAGGGCCTACAAGAGGGGAGCCTGCACCTCTCCCCCATTTGCTCCCGTTCACAAGACAGCCCTGGGTATTTATACTTGGGCCCAGGAAAAGTACCAGGCGCCATCTGAACTGTAAGCACAAAGGCCAAAAGGGGGTTTTGGTGAGGCACGCAGGAGAGGTTTAGTTTAGCTTTGTTTTTCCACATCCAGCTAAGTTGCTCCTCTCTGCCTGCAGGGTTTGGCTCCTGGCCTTTCCTCACCCCACTTCCAGGTGGTGAGTCCAGTCCTGAGGCTGTTCTGTTCAAAGCAGGGGATGGCCACTGCTTTGAGTGAGGCCTGGGCAGGTTGTGCATGCGTGTGTGCGTGCGTGTGTACTCACCTAGGTAGCAGCTGTCTGTCCTCACCCTCCTTTTTCTAGCCTCATGGTTGCCCTGGGTCCATGTGGAGCTCAATACCTGGGTTTTCAGGCCATCCTGAGCATGACCTTCTAGTGGCTTCACTTCCCTATGAGAGAAGCTAAAGTCCTCTGTAGAGTCCTCTTCCTGATGGTCCCTCAGGCTTGAGCCCATGATGTGATTGGTTCTCTTCTCCGCCATTCTCTCTGGAGAGCAGCTGTCCCAGCCTCTGGTTCCTGAGAAGACCTAGGTCCAGGGCCTTCCTCTCCTTTCCTTCCCCTCACCCCAGACTTCTGGCTCCTTTCCCCTTCGTCCCTCTTGTCATTCTGAAGTGCTGTGGTCCAACTGCCAGCCTAGCATCCATGATCTATTGGGTGTCCTGTCCAATCAATTTCCTGTCCCACCTGGCCTTCTTTCCTGGCTGAGACCTACATGGCTGGGCCTGGCGCTGCCCTGGGGAAAGCCTGTCTCCTGCACCTGGCCCAGCTTGCTCAGGCCCTGGGATGCTGCACCTCCTGGCAACTATGCATTTCCTGGGAGGGAACCAATGTGAACAGTGAGGACAGGCATGGATCCAGCTTGCCCCAGGAAGGGGGAGGAAGACCCAGTTGGTTCTGGGATCCACAGGTCTGTGGCCAGCCAGCAGCCTGCTTCTGCATTCTCCTGGTGCCCAGTGCCCTTCTTGTTTCCGGGAGACACAGACCATTCCCTGGCTGGCAGTTGACCTGCCCAAGCCAGCATGTCTGTCTGTGGTAACCAAGTGAATTGTAATAAAGGGGAACGTGTGGTCCTGTGTCCTGTGTGTCATTTGTCTTAACAGGGACTTGCACAGAGCCTTGCTGTGGGCTGTGGGGCAGGTACGTGGAGGTTGGGTAGCTTTGAACCCTGTCATTCATTCCTTGGCACCAAAAGTCACCTGCTTCTGCGTGGTTCTTTCTCTGAGGTGGCCTTGCAGTTAGGCCTTGCAGTTCCTCAGAGGCTCCTGCTTGTTAGAGGAGGGGTGTGTGTTACTGAGGAGGAAACAGGAGGCAGCAGGGCCTTGGGGCAGGGCTGGCTTGGTGTAGATCGTGCACCTTGTTTTTCTTTTAAAACAAAAAATGTTAATGTATGAGTTGTTTTTTTCTAAACTAAAACCTCAGTATTTAGGTTTAATTGTAGTGTTTGCACTTTATGATAAATAAGTAGGTTTTGGGTTGCAGTTTGGGCACTCATTTCTAAAATGTTCACCATTACTGGTCTACATGGTCGTTTGGGCAAGGCAGGAGAGGAGCATGGAGCTGCTGCTCGGTGCTCATGTGGGGTCCCTATTGTGGGTTGAGCAGCCTCTATGAACTAAAAATGGGGGGTGGACTCCAATGCTGGACAATGAAGGCAGGAAATGCACCCAGCATCTTTTCTCCTGCCGCTTTTCCTTGGCCTGTGCTATGGCCTCTGTCTGGAGAGCTGCTCTGGTCCTCTGTCCTAGTCAACCTGCAAGATTCACTTTAACTCACTACTTCAAGGAGAGGCGTTTCTGCTAGACATGTTGCTTAGGGCCCTCTGCTTCCTCATGGAGGACTCTGAGCTAGACTTTTCTGTGTTCCTGTTTGTCCTCATACCACGGTGGCATCTGATTTATCAGATGAGGCTTGGTAAATACCCAGTGTGAAGTGCTCAAGTCCTGGATACTGTTAATGTGTGGGATGGGGAGAGGCAGTTGGATAGAAAGGCCAGGCTCTGGCGAGAGTTCCAGAGAATACAAAGAACAGAGAGAGGATTTGTGCCAAAATTCACCCAGTGAACTACATCTCCGTGCAGGCCGGGAAGTGGACTACAACTCCCAGGAGGCTGTGCGGCCGCGCACCCCCCCCGTGCTCTCACGAGACTGCGTGCCATTTAGTGTTGGTGGAAAGGGCGAGTGAAGTTCCGCGATATTTGAGGGCTTTTCCCGAGAGGCACCTGGCGGGGTGAGCAGTATTAGGGGGTGACTGAGCTGGCTTCTGGTTTCTCCATGGCCGGACCCGGGACCCAAAACCTGTACTTACGGCTCTGGTGTGTGCGTGTGTGTGTATGTGTGTAGAAGTGTTGACCTGTGAGAAATGGAGACAGAGTGGGGGATTTGGTGTTGAGTTAGGATTCAGGCTGGTTTTTTTCAGCGTGGTGCTGGGGACTCAACCTAGTCTTGCGCATCTCCACACGCACACTTCCCCACTTAGCTACACCTCAGCCTCTTCAGGCTCTCAGTGGGTCCCGGACCCCTGCCTGTCACTTCTTCTGTTTGGTGCTGCCCTAGACCCCGTCCCTCACCCTTCCCGTCTGGGGCTGCATTTTTACCCTTTCTGACTTCTCTTACTTTACTCCCTTTGTTATCCCTAGTTCTGGCTTGGCTCCATCCTTGCTCGTATTAGGGCTGGCAGGTATCCCTGAAACCTTTATGTAAGCTGCCCTGAATTAAACTTCAAAGAAAGAGACATAGACGCCACACACTCAGGCTCTTTGTTTGGCCTTGTTTTTCTTTTTTTCTTTTTTTTTTTTTTTTGATACCGGGCATCGAACTCTGGACCTTGCACTTGCAAGGCAGGTGGCAAAACCACTGAGCTAAATCACCAGCTCTTGGCCTGTTTTTTAATTTGTTTTTTCTTGTTGTTTGTTTTTGTTTTGGTGTCTGGGATCAAACAGAGGGCCTCGAGTGCTAGGCAAGTGCTACATCCTAGCCCTGGGCCTGTCTTTCTAAAGGGCAGAGGCTTCACTTTTCCAGCTGCAGCTCACCTGCCTGGCTGGCACCTTGGGTTCCTGAAGACTCAGTGATCACACCTCTCAGGCCTGTAACCAGCCTGGCTGCCAGCTCTTTCTGCAGCTCAGACTTCTTTTGAGACAGGGTCTCGCTATGTAGTTCAGACGGTGTAGCCCAGGCTGGCCTAGCCTCCCAAGTGTTGGGATTATAGTTGGGGTCTGACTTCCTTACCCACTGTGAGTGTCACAGTCATAACTCCCAACCTATTAGATGTCAGATGTGCCAAGTTGGTGTCTCTTGATAATGAATGAATTCAAGGACAAAGGTTAAGAGTGGAAAAGGTTTACTGAAAGGAAGCTCCTGAGAGACAGGAGAGGTCCCCAAGTGGGTTGCCACCCAGGCTTTTTGTCCAAGGGTATTTTATAGAGCAGAATCACAACGTGAATCAAACTACAATCAACCTATAGGATTACAAGTATAGTTGCTTAGGTACTATTGATCCAATAGGCAAGCCAGGCAGAATAGCAAGGCTGTATGGCAGGCATCATTAACCTTGGTTTATGTCACTTCTGACATAGAAAGAACCAGGGCATCCCTAGAAAGGGATAGGAGTGTGGTCAGGGTGTTCTGCTCACCCACCTGTGCTGATGCCTGTCTGGGCTCAATGGGCCAGGTGGTGCCAATTACAGTACAATCTCAAGCTGCCATTTATCTCTAGAGAGGCCTGCAGGCCTGGCTCTCTTTAAATTCGCCCCAGGGCCGGAGATTTAGCTCAGTGGTTCCGACACCTGCCTTGCAATTGCAAGGTCCGGAGTTTGATCCCCGGTACCAAAAAAATAATAATAAAATAAATAAATTGGGCTGAGGATTTAGCTCAGTCGTTTTGCCGCCTGCTGCACAAGCACAAGGACCCGAGTTTGATCCCCAGTACCCCAATACCAAAAAAAAAAAAAAGAATAAATTCACCCCAACTGCAGTTTTGATATGTCTCATGCCCTGCACTGACTCCCTCAAGGGCTGGATGCCTCTCTGACCACCTATTAATTTCTGTCTAGCTTAGCTGTCCATAACATGAGCAGCTGGAAGCTGGGGCTGCTCATCCCCTGGCAGCCTAGCAAGTGGCAGAGTCTCATGCCAATGCTTTACCTGCCTCTTGGTTGAACATGTGAATTCAGGGGACACCCTTTGTTTCTCTTCAGATCCTGAGTTGCACATTACTTCTTGGAGGCCCGGCTCTGTGGGCTCCTGGAACCCCCAGACCCTGCATGGAACCAAGGGCCTCAAGTCCAGCCGCCACACCCCAGGTGGAGAGAAAATTCCATGTTCTCGTGGGTGTCACCGGCAGTGTGGCCGCTCTGAAGTTACCTCTTCTGGTGTCCCGGCTTTTGGATATTTCTGGAGTGAGTATCCCCTCTGGAGGCCTCAGAGGACACTGGGGCCAGCCCATTTCTCTGTAGTACGTGCCATTTTCTTGTTCCTGATAGTAGCGTCTGTGCATGTCCCCTGTGTGGTTGCATGTGGGGTACCCATGGGACAGAGACCCCTGCACAAGATGAGCAGAGGGCTGGGGATTTAGCTCAGTGGTTCTGCCGCCTGTCTTGCAAGCACAAGGACCCGAGTTTGATCCCTGGTACCAAAAAAAAAAAAAGTTAAACAAGATGAGCAGATGTTAGATTAACTTCCTGGTGTGGGAGACCACGAGTGTGGGTATGGGTGCCTGTCCCCTGGCTGTAGTTCCTGAGGTCCCATGGAGGAGGAGCCAGGACGTGTAGCAGGTCCCCAGCACCCCACTCACCCTTCCTGAAGTGGCCCTGTCCCTCTTTTGTGGACGCCATGATTGTCCCATCAGTCATAGGCACTGAGGCCTTAGGTTCCTGGTTGCACACAGCTCTGGTTTCAAACTGTGCTAGCTTAGATGTTCAGAGATGTTGCCTGGGGCACCACTGTGAGCTGGGTGAGGCACTCTGCCCCTGTTCTTGGCCAAGCAGCCTCAGCTTGGGTTGCTTTTGTATATGGGGTTTGGGGCAGAAGTTCGAAGCCTGGAACAATGAAGTCTGACAGGCAATGGCCCCGGTTCCTGCTCTGGCCTGAGTCCATTGGCTCTGCATCCCTGAGCCCCATGAGCTGTGCTAGAGTGATCTCCTCCAGACCCCTCTGCCCACTCTGGTCTTCCCACTTTTGAGTCCATGCAGAAGCTTTTCCTACTAACCCACATGGTTTTATATCCTTCTTTTATTTTATTGATTTTCATTTATTTTTTGCAGAATTGGGGATTGAATCCCGGACCTTTGCACTGAGCTCCATCCCCTTTTTAAGTTTTTTTTGTTTTTGTTTTTGTTTTTGATACTGGGGATTGAACTCAGGACCTTGCGCTTTCGAGGCAGGCAGTGGAACCACTGAGCTAAATCCCTGGCCCAAGGCTTTTGGGGTTTTTTTTGTGGGTTTTTTTGAGACAGGGCCTCACTAAGTTGCTAAGTTGCCCAAGCTAGGCTGTAGTTTGTGATCCTCCTGCCTCATCCTCCCAGAGTGCTGGAATCACAAGCATGCACCACCCAACCTGGCCATTGCCCTCTTTTTAGACTCATGACAGAGAACCATAGGTCACATTGGGCTTTGTGTTATTGGACACTAGATTTTGGAAGATGTTCAGTCTCTGGGCTCGGGCTATATGTTTTTTTCTTTTTTTTATTAATACATGTTTACAATACGTAATGACATTCGTCTTGGGAAATGGTACATATATATATATGATAGAACCCCCCTTCCCCTTCCTGGCCTCCCGTCTTCCATCCCCAGACCTCTTTCCCACAGCCACAGGGTCCCCTCCCCATGTGTTTTCCTTACTGAAATCTTCAGGCCCCTAAAGTGGTGTGGCTCAGGTGCTGTGTCTGACACTTCCAGCAGGGGACACTGCTCACCCACAGATGACCCCATGGGGACCACTGGCAGGGACCAGAAAGACTTATTTTGCTTTTTTCACTTTCCCCAGACTTGTAGCTCAAACGTCACCCCCTCCCCACCCCTAGGCCTAGATAAGCAGGATCTTGCAGCTGCTCTGAGCACAACACGTTGGGGGCAGTGCCACCAGGGATGATCACCTCCTTGGGTGCCCAGAACCGTGGGTGGGAGTTGCTGGCTGGAGCCTTGAGCATGGGAGGCCTGGAAGGGTTGCAAGGCCTCTGTCACCACTTCCTGGGGAGATGGGAGCCACACACTCCTTTCCCATGACCCAAAGCGAATGGGTTTCCTGTTGGGTGGGTAGGGACAAGCGGTCTAGCCCAGGAAACAGATGGGCAGCTGAACTGGGGGACAACACTTGCCACTTCCTCCAGCCCAAGGCTGTGCTTGGGGTGTGCTGACCGGGCTGACTGGGAGGGAGGTGCCCAGCCCCCCAGGCTACTGGCCCAGCCAGGAGGACAGCCCAGGTCTGCAGCAGCTTGGAGCCAGAGGGCACTAGGCAAGGAGGGACCCCCTGCCTGGCCTCCTGGGGATGTGTGTGGGCTGGGGATGTAGCACACAGATGACGGGTTTGTCTTTTGTGCCAGCAGCCAGTCACAGAGCATGGCTGGAGGAAGCACTTGACAGCGTGTGTTTCCTGTCCATCTTGCTCTCCCATGCTGTGTGGTGTCTCGGTGTCAGGGCTGGTGAGACAACTCATCCCCTACCCCTGTGTGGGTCCCCAACCCTCTGATCCTGCAGGGGACAGCTCGTCACCCTGGCTTTGCACTGCAAGATCTGGTGCAATGTGCTGACCAGGGCCATCCCAGTGATACAGGGGAAATAATATAACTCCCAACCTGCTAGATGTCAGATATGCTGAGTTTGTGTTCCCTAGAATTAAAGAATGAATTTCAAGGAACAATGGAGGATAAGAGTAGGAAAAATAGGGCCGGGGACTTAGCTCAGTCGTTCCGATGCCTACCTTGTAAGTACAAGTTCCTGAGTTCTATCCCTGGTACCAAAAAAACAACTATGATCAACCAATAAGGTTACAGGTATAGCAGATGAGGTACTATCGATTCAATGGGAAAGCAGGTCACACAGCAAATGTACACGGAAAGAACAAAGACCTTTTTAGGAAGGGATGGATCAGATCCTGGTCATCCACTTGGGTGACTAATGTCTCTCTAGATGTTATTGGACCAGGTGATACCAATTACAGTGTAGTCTTCAATTTATTGCTTATCCCTTGGGGAGGGATGTTGGCCTGGTCATTCTGTTTTTATCTTGAGGCCTGGGCTTCAACAGATGCTCTTCCATCCACAGTTGTAATGTGTTTTCATCCTCTGCACTGACTTCCTTGAGGGCCTATCCCTGTCTGACTGCCTATAATATTTCTACCTAACTTAGCTATCTATAATACCAGGATCACCTGGTGTTGGCCCCTGGGGGCGGCCTTACCCCCTGCCTTAGGGTATTGAGCCCCCTGGCCCCATCTTGGTCACCTGGAACAGCATGTTCCAGGCACAAGTCTACCTGTGGGACACCCAAATCTGCCCAGCCAAGAATCAGTGGGTGCCAGCTGTAGGGAGCTGGGTGATTCTGTAGCCCTGGCCTATGATGCTTTTGACCCACCAGGTGTCCCTGGAGAGCTGCCAACCCAACTGGGGAGACTGAGGGTACAGAGCAAGGGTGAACTTAGCCACAAGCCTTATGCACTGGGAGCTGGGGAGAAAAGCCACCAGCACTGTCCTGAAGCTTTTTGTGGAGTCCTGACACCGGCACCCCCGGGTTGGTTCTGGGCAGTGGTGGCCTTAGGTGGTCATCTTGGGCCCCCTTTCCCCTCTGCTGGCAGCCTGCAAGCCCAGGTGAGAAGACAGACATGGTGTAGGCCTGTCTAAGTTGCCCAGGCTGGGCTGGAACTTGTAGTCCTCCTGCCTCAGCCTCCTAGAGTGCTGGGATTGCAGGTGTGCGCCGCCACACCCAGCCAGATCAGGATCCTGTCTCTTCAGCCAAGAACAGGAAACCAGACTTGTGGAGTAGTTTCAGGAAGGAGTTTCTAGAACTGCTAGATGAAGTGGAGGTGGCTGATGTAATGAGCTCTGGCCGGCCCCAGACCTGTTGCACAGGAAGCTTCCGGGTAGAAGTGTTAGATACAGAACTGTCCTGGCCGCCTTCTACCAGGATGCAGGAGGAGGTGAAAGGGCCTGGGAGAGTCCCTGCCCTGCCGAGGCCCCAGTGTTTGCTCGAAAAGTCAGGTAAACGAATGAATGGATGAATTGTCTGGATGATTTAGGATCTCAGAAGGTAGTGTGACATGCTGTTTTCCAATGTGTGCAGACCCAGGACCCAGCCCTTGGCTCCCAGGACCTTTTGGATGAGTGATAATGAAAGATCTGCGCCAGAGGGCTGATGAGTTGGATCCAGTGGCATCCGTCAAAAACCAGAAGAACCGGCCCAGGCCTGTCCACTGCTCCCCGGTCACCACTGAGCACGTGGCTGCCTCTCTGGGTCAGGGAGGGGCACAGGAGGACCTGCTTGGCACAGGCTCTTCCTGTTGCCCTGAGACCTCTCTGTGCTGCCCGGAAGCAGGCAGGGCCTCACAGGACCTCATTGGGGTGGGAGGCAGCATGAGAACTCTGACACCCAGATGGGGTAAAGAGGGAGTAAAGGGCTGGGCCTGGTGGTGCAGGGCTGTAATCACAGGGGTGCAGCTGAGGCAGGAGGATTGCTGTGAGTTCAAGGCCAGGCTGAACTATATAGCAAGACCCTGTCTCAAAAACCAGAAAAGAAGAAAAAAAGATAAGAAAGAAAGAAAAATGGAATCACCGTCTGAGGGTGAAGGCTGTGACATTAGCAGGGGAGATGAGAAATAGGAGTGATCCCCTCTATCTTCTCTTATTTTTCTGTTTTTTGTGGTACTGAGGGTTGAATGCAGGAATACCCTATCACTGAGCTATATCCCTAGCCCTTTATATTTTTTTGAGACATAATCTCCCTAAGTTGCCCAGACTGACCTTGAACTTGAAATTCTCCTTCCTCGGCTTTATGAGTGGCAACACTTACAATCATGGGCCACCATACCCAGTCCTTTTTTTTTGGTACCGGGGATCGAACTTGGGTCCTGCGCTTGCACAGCAGGCAGCGAAACCACTGAGCTAAATCCCCGGCCCACCTCGTCCTTTTTGGGGGGACAGTAATAGGGACTCACTGTGTAGTCCAGGCTGTCCTTGAACTTATACATAGTCCAGGCTGGCCTCAAACTTGTGGAGATCTTCCTGCCTCAGCCTCCTCAGTGCTGAAATCATCCTCTATCTTTGAGGTTGAAAAAGTAGGACAGTGGGATGGGGATTTGGCTCAGCGGTTCCACTGCCTGCCTCCCAGGCGCAAGATCCCAAGTTTGATCCCCAGTACCAAAAAAAAAAAAAGATTTCAGATGTAATAAATTGAAGATATGAATTTTTAAAAAAAGAAGAAAAAGTAGGAAAGGGACATGAGATGGGGTTGGGTGATTAATCTCATAACCCAGGCAAGTTCTGTTCTGGGTGCAAGGTCACAGAGTCATGGCTGGTGACTTTCAGGATGTGTGGGAACATCTAGGTGGGTGGGGACTGGGGGGCGGGGTGTGGATTCATTTATCAAGAAAGCAGGGGCTGGGGATTTGGCTCTGGTTTTGCCGCCTGCTGCACAAGCTCAAGGACCCAAGTTCGATCCCCGGTACCAAAAAAACAAAAAAGAAAGAAACCAGAAGAGGTGCCTCCAAATCGCTAATACAGGGCTCATGTGTGTATAGAGAGCATTCAGGAAGAGGTCGTCACAGGGGCTGTATCAGGATCACAAGGAATGAGGCTCATCAATTTTAGTTGTAGATGAAACAATGTATTTTTGGATTCAGGTGATACCTTTGATGGAATTTTAGAACAGCCTCCAGGACTCACTGGAGACATGATCAGCCTGTTCACAACCAGCAAAAGATCCTAGTTAGGAAAGGTTCATCCAGGTATGGTGGTGCATGCCTGTAATCCCAGCACTCAGGAGGCTGAGGCAGGAGGATTGCAAATTCCAGGCCACAGTCCCTGGAACCAGACAATCCCTGGCACCTAAAAACCCTTTCCTATTCTGTGCCTGGCTTTTGGATTCTTTTGTTTTGTGGTGTTTTTTCGGTTTTGTTGGGTTTTTTCTTTTTTGGTCTTGTTTATTTGTTTTAGTGTGTTTTTTGTTTGTTTTTGGGTTTTTTGGGGGGGGTTGAGACAAAGTCTCTCTATGTAGTTCAGGAGAAGTCAGGACATCACATTTCCCATGTGAAATATTCCAGTTTATGTATGAGCTCAAAAATGAGTAGCACCCTGTTTAGGCCTCACAGCGTCCTTGCAGGGTGCCCCTGCCACTGTGCTGGGTCACCAGGGACTTACGTGTCACCCTTGATCCACTCCTCTTGCACAAGTGTCCTCCCCTGGCTCAGTGGTGCCCTAAGGTGTGGGTTCCTGCCCTGGCCACCTCTTCCTAATCTGGCACCTTGTTTCTCAAGTGACATAGCCACCAGGGCCCTCCCTGGAGGTGGTGTTTCTCAGGGGCCCTCGCTCTGGGGAGCAGGTCCCTGCCCACCCTTGGTAAGTGGGTGCTGTGGGGCCCACAGTGGAACCTGGCTGCAGCCCGAATCCCCAAGGCCTTGTTCCTGGAAGTAGGGAGGGGATGTCACCTCTGTCCCCTGGGACCTCTGGTGGCTCCATTGGCTGAGTTCCCCTCCTGCCATCCCAGGCTGCTGCCTCAGGCCTCACTGCAGAATGGCCATGCCTGGCACCTTTTATACCTGGGCACTTGGTGACTCATCCCTCGCAGAGCCATGGGGAAGTGAAACGGCTGCACCTGGCAGTGCCTGACCTTTGGGTGACAGCGGAAGTCCGCTGTGCAAACATGCTGAGGTAGGGAAGTCCCCCTCCTTGCCGGCCCGCAAGGACAGTGGCTGCCTGCCCGGCCCCATGTGGCCTCCATGCCTGTGGTTCCAGTAACAGTTTCTCCTTCCTTTCTTGGTGACAGCTGGAAGTTACGGTGGTCACAACTGAGAGAGCCAAGCATTTCTACAGCCCCCAGGACATTCCTGTCACCCTCTACAGTGACACTGATGAGTGGGAGGTCAGTGCCAGGCCCTGGGCCATCATGTTTCCACCACCAGGATAGTTGTCCAGCCTATGACTCTGGACGCCTGAGCAGATGGGATGGGCTTGAGTCTGCTGGCAGTGGTGACGCAGAGAACATCTGTCCAGCTCCGCTGTCCCCTCCACCCTGCAGAGCTCAGCTCTGGCTGCCTAGGGCTAAGTGTCCTTGTGCTTATCGGGCTGAGGAGACCACAGAGCACTCTGTTCCTACCACCCTGACCACGTGGCTTCAGTGAGGCCTGGCTTCCCAGGGCTGCTGAGCATGGGCCTCGCTGCCAGGCACTCTAAAGGTTCCCAGCCTTGGGTGCTCCTGGCGGACTCTGTGCCCCTCCCTACCCCTCCGTTTCTCACCACCCCCACCCTTCCCCTGTCTGGGACAGCCCAAGCCTCCTGCCTCCTGCAGCTGCCCAGGGTGCCCTGCCAGATGTCAGCTCTCTGAAAACCAGACCATAAAGGGAATAGCGCAGTGGGACAAGGGGTGTTTGTTTCTGCAAGCCTGGATTCTGTCAGGCTGCTGGCTGCACGGCTGCTACTTACCAGCCTAGCTACAGGAAGGGCTGATGTTTAGCTGGGCATGTAGCACATGCCTGTCATCCCAGCACTTGGCAGGCAGAGGCAGGAGGATCGTTGCGAGTTCAAGGCCAGCCTGGATGACATAGTAAGATCCTTTTTCATCTCTCCCCCCGCAAAAAAAGGGACAGCAGTGACTCGGGCAGGAGGTCACACGGCCTCCTAGGTTCCAGACCCACACTGAGGACAGCCCTCTCTATGAGCCTCTCCTCCTTGTGACCCTGTCCTCCTTTCCAGATGTGGAAGCGCCGCTCTGACCCAGTTCTACACATTGACCTGCGGCGGTGGGCGGACCTCATGGTGGTGGCGCCTCTGGATGCCAACACTCTGGGGAAGGTGGCCAGTGGCATCTGTGACAACTTGCTTGTGAGTGACTCCCCAGTGCCCTTGTCCCTCCCCAGGCCTCCCTGTCACTGTGGGACCCAGATGTGCTCAATACAATGCCCCATCATGCTTGTGCCATCCACTCTCCAGTAAGCAGAGGATCCAGGCCGATGGATGGACCTGGGGTGTCCACTGTCCCTGCTGTTCTCAACTCTCTGCTCTGCCTCTGCCTTCTCCCTGGGATCTGGGTACATGAGGTTAACCTGATATGGGAAGCTGCTGCCTCACAAAGCAGTGAGAGTACATGCCCAACTTGTGTAGCTTTAGCTTCAAGGTCCAGACTCAGTTTCTACTGTATTAGTGGACACTGAGAGAGGAGAGAGACCAGTCCCAGTTTGTGCTAAAAGGGCAATCAGAATCAGGAAGGGAGGTGACTTCCTGAGGCTGCAGGTTTGGGGCTGTGGATCCAGCCCCCCACCTAGCAGATTCCCAGGGGCACAGCCCAAGTTGCTGGCCCAGTACCCACCCTTTGGCTGTGGGGGCCTGGTTCCCTCCCTTCCACTGCAGTTTGTCCAGGAAGTGCCAGGGACATGAGGTGGGGAGCCATGAGGAGAGACGGAGCTGTTGGGTTTCTGCTCAGAGCCCCAGCCCAGCCCTGCCCCCCACCACAGTCAGGGGCCTCCAGGGACTTTGTGGCCTCTAGAAGCAGCAAGTAGCCTGGGGCCAAGAGGAAATGTGACCAAAACTGTCCACTCTTAGTCTGGGTGCACACTATGTGCACCGAGGGGACTTGGTGAGAAAGCAGTGCATGCTCTGACATAAGCAGCCAGACCTTGGGGCAGTTTGCTGTCCCAGGAGAGTCCGGGTCCCCCAGGGGGCAGGCAGTAGCCTGGCCTCTTCCAGGCATCATACCCTGGGCTCCCCATCTTTTCCCAGATGGATTCTACTTCCGGGAAGGGGTTTCAGCACAGGGAGCTCCCTTGTCCTGCAGGCAGCCTCAGCCCAGCAAGCCTGTGCCTGTAGCCCTGACAGGAGCTGTCCAGGGCCCAGCCCTATGCTGAGCTTGAAAAGCAGTCACACCTTGGTCTTCATGGCCACCTAGCAAGGGGGCTGTTCACAGAGAGGAAGCTGGAGTCCTAGCATTAAATGACCTACCCAGGTTATCACAGCAGGAGACAAGTGCTCAGACCCACAGGACTTCAAGGCCCACAGCACTGAGCTCTGTGAGCTGGTCAGACCCTGGTCTGTGACTCGGTCAGGAGACCTGGACACAGCCCAGCCTTAGAATCCTTGAGCCTGCCCAGTGTGACAGATCTGCAAAGCCACGTTCACATCCAGATATGGCTTTGCACAGTTGTGCATTTCTTAGGGACGGCAGCTGTCCGTCCATGAGAGAGTTCAGTGCCTCCTTTATAGGGAGCGAGTGAAAGTCCTTGGGATAACATGGGAGAGGGGTTTGTCACATGATAGACCTATAATTACTAGAGTATTCTTGGCCCAGAAGTAGAGCTGATAGGTGGATGTTGAGATGCATGCCTGTATTACTAGCAGCCAGGAGGCTGAGGCAGGAGGATCACTGAGAGTTCAAGGCCAGCCTGAACTACATATTGAGACTGTCTCCAATAAATAAATAAATTAAAAAAGAAGTAGAGCTGGTATCAGGTACCCTCTTCCCCCATGAATAGTCAGTCTCTAGCTTCCTGGTGACCACAAAGCCAGTCCCTGCTCCCCAGGGCTGCTCCCACCTAAGAGGTGGCAGCTGGCGGGGAGGAGACTTAGGCTCAGGCTCAGGGGGCTGCCCATGGGAGAGGCCAGCCATTGTAGGCATTGATGGAGGGACAGGCATGTCCTGTCATCCCAAGCCCACGGCGGCTGGGCTGCTGGCCATGGGTGGGAGGATATTGGGAGGATTTAGAGGGGCTGAAGAGGGGTAGCACCTGAGCAGGAGGACCCCCCTTCTTCCCAGACCTGTGTCATCCGGGCCTGGGACCACAGCAAGCCCCTGTTCTTCTGCCCTGCCATGAACACAGCCATGTGGGAGCACCCACTCACTGCCCAGCAGGTGGGCCAGCTGAAGGCCTTTGGCTACACCGAGGTTCCCTGTGTGGCCAAGAAGCTGGTGTGTGGAGACCAAGGTGAGTGCCCTGCCAGGCCACATCCCAGGCTGTGGAGGGGCTCAGTTTCAGGTTGGCATCCCGGCCCATTGTGGCTCTGATCTCTTGGCTGGAGGATGGGAGCCCTAATCCACATGTCTCTGAGAGTTAGGATGAAGTGGGTGGTGGTGTGAAGTGCCTGGCACATGCACTGTCAAGGGTTTCCCAGCCTGCCCTAGGTTGCCCTGGGTGGGGCACCTGGGCAAGCATAGGCCATAGGAGGACTTTGTATCCAGGTATGGGGGCCATGGCTGAGGTGGAGACCATCGTAGATAAAGTGAAAGAAGTCTTCTCCCAGCACCGTGGCATCCAGCAGAGTTGAACCTGGTCTTCAATCATGGGTACCACCCTGGCTCAGTGTTTCCAGGCTGATAAGGAGGACATCAGCTGAATCTGGTGAAGATACCGGCATTTCCCAAAGAGGGGCCTGGCCTGGGCCTCACTGGAACTTTCCCAAGAAAGCAGGTCCAGACCTGCTTGAGGTCAGACTGGACTGACAGCTCAGGCCCCACTTTCTTTGAACCAAAAGATACCTGCGTGTTGGGGTCCCTCCTCATCTCTTCTTGGGATGGGCACAGCAAGCCAGGGAGGCTGTCCTTGTGCCCCTGGAAGGGAAACTCAGGGACTGGGAGACCTTGATTGTACCTTTTCCCCAGGAATTGCTTTTGGAAACACCATGGCTGGAGATCACTGGAATGGTGGCCCTGGATATTCTTTGGTGGGGAGCCCAGGTGCCACACAGAGGTGGCAGGACTCTCAGATTTCCCACACACCATGCGATGGGATTGAGCATGCTGGAAAATAAAGAAAAGTGACCTCTTATCCTTCCTTGTGGTCTCAGAGATTGAGAGTGTTGCCAGGTAAAGTTGGAGAAGGGTCTGGGCTGCTGACTGACCAGCGTATTATATGTCCCCATATAACATGGGTGTATAAAGGCAGAGAACTCTGAAGCTAGCCAGCCTGTAGTTCAAATCCCAGTTCAGCCACTCACTAGCAGTGGACCTTGGTTTAGAACTTCACTTCTCAGACCCTTACCTGTATTAACTTCCTGCCCTGAGGGAGCTGTTGAAAGATTAAGTGAGATAATATGTGCAAAACACCGTCCTTCTCCTTACCTACCAAGGATGCAGTTTAGGACTCCCATTGTATGATTTAGAGCATCTTAGGAATTGGCCAGGCACCACCCATCCCAGGCTCAAGGTGTAAAGGGTAAATTCCTTTGAAAGACTTTGCTTTGAGAAGAGAGCCCAAGGTACCCTGCGTACTCAGAGCTGCCAAGGTAAGTGTGTCCCAAGTTTAGCCATCTGGAACTCAGCACTGCAGCACTGGTCCAAGCTATGGCTCAGCTGGCAGCAGACTTTGGTGCAGGTTTTAGACATGCAGTTGCAAAAGTTGTGGAGTCACAGAGGCTTCCACCCAGATTTCAGAGGAAGGTCTGGGAGGCCAAGCAATGTGTAGCAGGGTCATAGTCCCTGCCAGGAGCCTCGGTGATGCATGAAGCATAAGAGGGAAGTCAGATCTGTAGTAGAGACTCAGGAAGTTGGAGGTGCCAAGAACGTGGGACATCTGCTGAGGAAAACTGCAGGCAGCGAGCAAGAGCCAGCCCCAAAGAGAGGCCACGAGGGTTGCAGCTGGGAAGGCCATGGGGTAGAGCTGTCCAAGCCCTTTGGAACCAGCACCTTACCACCACCTGCCTCAGTGCTGGACACAGAGCTACAGGACTTAATGTTTTCCTTGTTGGGTTTTGGTCTTGCTTTGGTCCTCTTCTTTTCTGTCATTCTTTTCTGCCTTTTGGATGGGAATGTTTATAGTGTACCATTGTATTTTGGGATTAAGTGCTGTTTGGGTGGGGTTTTTTTTTTTTTTTTTTTGAGACAGGGTCTTGCTACATAGCCCACACTGGCCTCGAACTTGTGGCAGTCCTCCTACCTCAGTCTCCTGAGTACTGGGATTGTGGGTGTGCACCACCATGCCTGGCTTGCTGTTTGGATTTTATAGGAGCTCACAGCTGAGAGTTTGCCATGAGTCTCAGAGGAGACTTTAGACTTGGACTTTTGAGAAGTGCTGGAACTGCTAAGATGCTGGGGAAGGAATTAGTGTGGGTTTGGTTCCACTGAGGAAAGTTCACCTCATGTTAGGCAGAACTCTGACCTTGTTATGTCTTTATGTGGAGATTCAGTGTGGTTTAAGGGAATCTGTATCAGTGTCACATTGACAGTAGATAGAATGTGATAGCTAGGCTTGGTTGTCAGCTTGCCTAGCTCAAGAGACACATAGATGGGGGCTGGGGATTTAGCTCAGTGGTTTCACCACCTGCTGCCCAAGCACAAGGACCCAAGTTCAATCCCCAGTACCGAAAAAAAAAAAAAGAGACACTTAGATTAGTGAGACACTTCCGAGGTAGTGTCATGGGGTTATGGCTTTGGGGACTGTCTGGTCCCTGGCCCTCTTCCCTTGTGTTCTGCTTCCTGGCTGCCATGGGTTGAGGAGCTTTCTTCTGCACTGCCTTCCACCATGATGTTTCTTTCTTGGAGCCAGCCAACTATGGACCTTCTGAAACAGTGAGCAAAAATATGCCTCCCTTAAATTGCAGGTATCAGGTGTTTTGTTCCAGTGGTGGAAGGTGACTAATAATAACACAGTGGATGGCTGCAACTGCAGACAGTACCAAACCTGTATATTCTACGTTTTACCCTATGTGTACTTACCTAAGACAATGCTTAATGTATAAATCGAGCACAACAGGATGTTGCAGAATTCAGGAGACTGAAGAGACCACTGGGAAACAGGAGGATTTTATTTTCAGGTGTACACAGACTCAGCTGGACTCCTGTCCCAAGGACTGGTCCCTGAACAAAGGAAAGGCTCCAGTTTTTATATGTTTGATTGGAAGAGATTGGTGCAAAACTGGAAGGGGGCAAAGCAAGATTACAGAGCCAAACAAAGCCAGCTATTTACTCAGTGACAGTTTACAACTTAGCCTTGAAAGAAAACCAGATATCCGGAATTCCAGGATGTCACAGGACCCTGTTTACAGGAACACGGTTGTCAACCTTATCTGTACTTCTTGACAGAAAACAGTTTTCAAGATGTTACAGGACTCCTTTTATAGGAGTATAATTGTCTACCTTATCAGTAGCAGAGCAGAGGTCAGCCTTGAAGGCAAGCAGATTCCTGAGAAACCAGGACATCACAGGACTCTGTTTGCAAGAATTTTACTATTAACCTTATCTATAACAGAACAGAGGTCAGCAGTTACAGGGAGGAAGAACCTGAGGGTGGGGGAGAGAGGGAGAGAGGGAGGGGAAGGGGGAGGGGTGAAAAGGAGGGACAGGGAGAGGGAGGAAGGGAGAAAGAGGCAGGCTGCTTAAGGCCAGGGAAGACTGATTTTCTCCAAGTTCTGGTTTAAGGAGGTTAACAATAGCTAATAACAAAATAGAACAGTTAAATATATACTATAATAAGCTGAGCATGGTGGCACCTGCCTGTAATGCCAGCTCTTGGGAGGCTGAGGCAGAAGGATTACTGTGAATTCAAGGCCAGCCTCAAATAAACTACATAGCAAGACCTTGTCTCAAACAAAAAGAAAGACTTCTGCTGGTGCCTTCACCTAAGTGAGTGTCTTAATCTATCTCTGTTCCTATAACAGAACACCCAGGGGTGGGTAATTTATAAAGAAAAGAGGTTTACTGACCTCCAGTTCAGAAGGCTGGAAGTTCACAGTCAGCTGGCCGCACCTGCCAGGCTTCTCCTGAGGGCCTTGTGCTGCTCTGTTCACAGCAGAAAGTGGAGGAGCAAACACAAGCCTTGCCATGAACATCCCCAGCTCTTTCGGTAACAGATGCAGTCCAGGAGTGCGAACTCCTCTCTTGCACCTTGACAGCCCAGCCCTGAAGGCTCTGTCCTCTTCCAAATACCTCCTCCCAGGCTCACCCTCAACACCGCCACCCACCACCAGGAATTAAGCCTCCAAATGAGTTTTAGTGGAGACAGACTTACTGGGAAACTCAGTCATGACACAGCAAGGAACCAGTCCCTCTATTCCTTGATCCTTGGCTCTTTGTCCCCTTGGCAAAAGAATTCAGTCCAGATGCATGGGCCATGCAGAAGTCTAGGTTTTTTGTTGTAAAGTAGATATAGAGTTACACCTTCCAGCAAGAAGGTGGGCAGTGCTAGGAAGGCTTCTGTCCAGAGGGCGAGTTTGGATGCATTTTTATGCACCCAAGAGTTACTCCTGGGGTCAGGGGAACTGGGGTATTAAGGAGAAGTTACTTAGGAATTGAAAAATGTCTTCTGTCCTTTTGAGATGGTCAGTGAATCCTCAAGGGTTTTCACCAACTGGCAAAAGAATTTAACCCAGGGCCCAGCCCAAGGCAGGAGGGTCTTTAGATAATTTAGATAACTTTCCTTCCAGACAGCACTGAGCTATAGGCTATGGCAACAGGAAGGAGTTGAAGGTGGGGACAAAGGGAGCATGGTGACCATGGCGCCTGAGCACTGTCCCAGACAGCCCCCTGGCGGGGGGCTCTTCTTGGTAAAGATTCCAGTTGTTTCTGGGTCCCCTGGTGTGCTCTAAGTCCCTCAGGTCTGTTCTGTCTCGGCTCATCTCTTCGACTCTGGTGCACTGAATCTTTGTCATTATATCACATCAGAGGCTTCAGGACTCAGTTTGGAGCTTGGATCCCAGGTCTTCCTGTTCTGCTAAGTACTCAGCAAGGGGGTAAAGCCTCATTTCAAAGGATGGCACAGCTGTAGCTCGAGGTGGTTGCTGAGAGTTTGAGACCAAACCTATAGGAAGACAAGGGAAGTGAGCGCCATTGCTTAGTGCTGATGACAAGGGTCCACAGAAAGACCTTGGCTTGACAACTTCCTCCTCATCCTTCTAGTTTCATCTTTTTTTTTTTGGTGCACATTGGTTATAGATTAATGGTTTCATTTTGGCAAATTCGTGCACATAATATTCATTGACCATTTTCACCCCTCTGTTAACCTCCTTGCCCTGCCTCCCCTTCTCACATTTAGGGGATCAATGCATGTAATACATTTTGATCATATCCATCCCCAGTTACCATGTAGCGGATCGAACAGATTCCAAGTTTGTGTGTCCAGCAAGCAAAGAATTACAAAGGTGATGGTGAGGGAAAAGCAGCTACATTTATTGAAGGCACAAGCAGAGAAACAGTGGTGCTGGGGTTACAGAAAAGAAACACTGTGCACTGCAGATAGATCAGGCTCTGGGGCCCAAGACCAAGAGGAGAAAAGAAGGGTTTGCCTGTGCTTCAGTCTGGGGTTGTATAGAAGGCTCTTAGGGGGCTGGGGATTTAGCTCAGTGGCACAGCACCTGCCTTGTAAGTACAAGGTCCTGAGTTCGATCCTGGTACTGCAAAAAAAAAAAAAAAAAAAAAGCTCTTTGGGCTGGGGATTTAGCTCATTTGTTCCATCTCTTCAAGCACAAGGACCCGAGTTCAGATCCCTGGTACCAAAAATAAAAACAAAAACAAAACAAACAAAAAAAAAGAAGGCTCTTAGGGCATTCCCAGCTCAAGTGGGTGGAGAGGGATTAGGGAGGGATGGGCTTAGGTGTTTGGGGCTTGAGCTCAAGTGGGTAGAGGCAAGTGAATTCCTCAGCCTCCAGTATCCTATCTGTATTACTCCCATTACTTACCCTTACTCCTCCCCTCCTGCTAGTCCCTTCTTCTGTCTAATAATGATCTACTTTCTTTTTTGGGTTTTTTTGTGGGGTTTTTTTTGTTTGCTTTTTGGTACCAGGGATTGAACTCAGGACCTGGCGTTTGCAAGGCAGGCAAACCACTGA